ATTGAACTCAGGTGTGATTGTGCATGTGTGTACATTACAACTGGGAGTAAATGCAGTTGCTGTGGATTTATGGGCACAGCTAGAGCTCAGGATTGTAGAGGAAGTTGTTTATTGATTACAGCAAATGTCTTTGGATCTGATCAATGTGATATGGCTGGAGCAAGGCATCACTGAATAAAAAAATGGTAATAGATTAAGCTGAAATCTTTAAAGAAGTCTAGTTCCTGGTATGCTGTTCTGCTGTAGGCTATATAGATCAGAAAGCGTTTGTTTAAAAAAAAAAAAAAAAAGTGAAAAGGGGATATTTATACTTCATTTAAATAAAAAAAGGAGTCTTTGATCCCCTTGAAATTGGAGGTTATGCTACAGACTGCAACGCCCATGTGTCGGAGCAATGTTTACTCTATTGGAATGATACGGTCAGTAGTTTGGAGCAAGCAGATTAATTTATGTAAGTAGAAATTGACAGTTGTGTGTATTAAAATCAGAAATACGTTGATGGCTTTCAATAAAGCTTTTGACCGTCAGTAAATGTTCAGAATTGTCTCAGCCATCCCCTGTATCCAAGGTTATGTGGTGAAGAGACTGACGTAGGTCTAGAGTTCAGCTCAGTGTAATAACAGGATACTACTTTTGTGACGTGAGCATTACAGTTAGAAGATTGTGTGAGGGATCATGGGACAGTCCTCTGCTTTTTAGTTGCTGTATCTTTTTTTCTTTGAGCAGCAAGGAGTAAGTTTGCATTTATAGAAGATGTAAAGTAATATATTAAGCTAACAAACAAGAAAAATATATCTTAACTACTTTGTGAAGGATGATAGGCTTGTTGGGTCAATATTCACTTTTCAAGCATCCACAACATTAGTTTTTAGTCTGTAAAGTGCAAGAATTCTAAGGTTGTATCTTAAATGTGGTGGCTATGATGAAATGGGAGCCTCATCACCTCCTCTTTGTTCTTTTGTACTCAAGATACTTCGTGTAGCTCTTCAAATGTATAGGGTGCTGTCTTAGTCAAGGTAGTAGAGAGTATGTGCCTGAAGACAGTCAGCACAAAGGCAGTGGCATTGACTTGGGAAATGCTGGTGCTGGAGAATGGTATTTCTGGAAGATGTGAACTTTGAAGAGAGATTTGCAGAGGGGAACATTTTCTGAACAAGAAGTGGATGCACAGACACATAACCTGGAAGCATAAGTAGGAAAACAAGTGGGTAGCAAAATGGGACCTGGGGAGAGGTAGATCAAAGGGATTCTAATGAAGGCAGCTTTGTGCTGGTATTGTGTCTTGTAATGAAGGGTGGGTGTGGTGTATTTTGAGTTGCCTAAAAACTCTTATGAAATGGGAGTGAGCAAGAGATAAATTTAGATGGGAGTTAAGAGTGAATTTATTGTGCAGGACTGTGAAGGTGAGGACAAACGGGGAGCTGATGGAGAGCTCTAAGGAGAGAGCAGGGCGAGGAGGGCAGCATCACCATTGGCAGGGCGGGAGAGGCAGGAAGCTGCAGCTGGAGCAGCCTGGTGGAGGCGGGTTGGAGGCTGGAGGAAATGGGCTGCTTGTCAACATGCACTGCTGTCTACAAGGCCAGCAAAGGCAAATTGCGTGCACAGACGTACTGACAGAAATCACGTGGCTAAGTGAGACATGGAAACGGGAATAGGAGAGGCACCATTTGAATGAATATATATATATAGAGAGAGAGAGAGAGAAAGAGAGAGAGAGAGGTTTTCTTAGAGTATTTTCTGAAGGAATGAGATGAAGGGAAGGTTAATGAGTATTTGGTTTTGGAGCAAAAATCAGTATGCACAGAAGCTTATTTCTTTGCTTTACATATGTGGGTGGTGCAGTTTGCAAACTAGATGTGCTGGGTAATTTTTGTGAGTTACTGATATTACTGGTGGTACTATGACACTTCACAGTCCTGATGTGGAAACAGTTGATTCATCAGAGTGTAATTTGCATAGTAAGTATAGCATGACTAATTATTGTATATAAAGGGAGTGTGCAGACATACTGGCATCTTTCTCTCCCTCCCTCCTATCTTACAAATACTTCTTAGTTAGAAAATTTAAGTTCTTGGTAGTAAGAGCAAATGTTGCAAAGCTGTACTTTTCCTCATATCAATGAATTGAACTTTAAATGGAGATGGTAATAAAAATGAATTTAAGCAGCTGCTCTTTATTTAATTTCCCCTTAACTGTAACAGTTACCCACAGCATGGTTTCTTGAGATAACACTTTCTGGCATGGAAGCACCATGTTTGGCATCTAGAGATTACAAAATCATATTGTTACCCGTACCGACTCGGCTATAAATTAGCACCAAACATAGTGTGATGCGATCAGCTACCACTCCCTGGTCAGTGTTTCACTTGCAGTGTGTGGTTAATCTCCATATTTTTCCTATTCTGCCTCCTGAAAATCTTTCCCAAAATCATTTTTGTTTTCATTAATTATCGAAATCCATGTTTCTGTTTTGTTTTTTTTTTTCCCCTGCAGGCAGCATCATAAAATCTTAATCAAGTGAAAATGGCCTTTAGCAATCTGACATCAAAGGCTGTACTACTTTATGATGAATGGATTAAAGATGCTGGTGAGTCATTTCAGTCTAAAATTTATTAACTTTCAATGATTTTGAATAGCATTGTGTATCTATTCGAAGTGTACTGTTTGTCAGCAACTTAAAGTGCCTTTGTCTTCCTGTAAATGTTTCTTAAGACTTGTGAAGTTACCTATTGACATTATAACTATAAAGAACAGAATAGTTTCTGCAATGAAAATGGAAAAACAAACCCCAGGTACTTATGGACTTAAACCCCAGCGATTCTTCTATAAGGGCTTTCTGGCATGCCAGAAAATAGTACTTTGTATTTTTCTGCACTACTGAACATAAAGCTTTAATTTTTTTTGCAAAACTAGTAATATTTTATCAGTTAATTGAGCTAGGTGCACAACGGTGCTGTATTTTGCTGATGCTAACATAGCAGGTAAAAGAAAGTACAAAACCTGGTGAGTTATGATATTATCTGAAATTACTCCTCAGAGTAATTCACTGTGTCTCACTCCTGTTTAGAAAAGGAACATTATTCTTTTGTTGCAGCTGGTAGAAGGATATTAAACATGCTTTGGTTTAACATTGTTGTTCTGTAGTTCTTCATGTTTATCAAAGAAATGACAGAAGAGATCTCAAGTTTGGGATTAAAACCATCTGTATAAGAGAGATCTGTCAGTGTTCCTCACCACAGTGAGCACACAGTGAAAGGGTTTAACTGATCCTTGGGGAAAATGTGAGAAGCAGTTATAGTCTGATCAATGAAATACCCACCTTAGTCTTTCCAGTGTACCTGAGAACTGTTTCTCTTGTTCTATAGCACCAGACTTGCTGATGTGGCTGTCACATGGGTGAAGTGGACTGGGGCAGGTGGCAGTGCCTTTCTGCTGTGGTGACCCTGGCTTCAGAGCCCAAATTCCTTGTCTCTGCCTACCGGTGCTTGTACCTGGCACCTTGCAAAATACCATTAGAGGTTAGACATGTCTTCTCAGTTTTGGTAGTATCAGTGCAAGGGGTAGGTGCAAAAGAGCAGTCAGTTGTGAAGAGCTGGTGATTCTCTTGCAGTGCTATGTGTACAGATTTCATTTTTTAATCTAATGCCTGGTGCTGTGGTTCACAATCCTTGTTAGTTTGTGGGCAGCAGGATTGAGCACTTTACGGCTGTAAGCAGCATTATATTTTGCTCTCCTTCGTGGTCTTTACTTTAATTTCCAGTGGCTGGAAACAACATCAGAGGGTGTCAGGGATAATATGTTGCTTGAATGTCATGGGCTGAAGATCATTAACCTGGGGCAGTTCAGTCATATATTAAACACTTAACAAAAATTTGCAGTGGTATAATTCCACCCCCAAAATAGAGCAACAGAGCATGAAAGCCGCAGTTTACTGACCCAGTAGTTAAGTTGGGGTCATTCAGAAATGAAACTTCCAAAAGTAGACTTTTTTTTAAAAAAAAAAAAAAAAAAAAATCATTTGGTATTCTCCTGATTATGGAGAAATGGTCAGGCCTTTGGTGAGCCAAGCCTCTACGATGGGCCGCAAAGACAGTGAATCATGGTGGAATCTCAGTTGAAACATCTGCTGTGGTCAGCCATGGAGAGAGAGAAAACGTTATGTGCATAGAAGAATGACTCCATCTGCAAAAGTTAAAATCCAAGTGGGCTAACTGGAGAGGAATTTACAGCATTTTTGTCATTTGGAGGCTTATAATATGAAATTGTGTGTTTTATACTGCAGTGAAAGGGTTGACATGTCTGGATTTAATAAACCCAGGCCTCAAGTACTAAGCTACGAATACCGACTGATGGGACAGAACATCTTCTAACTTTGAAATCCGTACTATTACTGTGTCTAACACCCTACTGCTTATAAGGCTTGAGGATTTTGAAGAGTGGGGCTACTTGGTATTCTGTGACCTGAGGTTGGTAAATAAGGTTCCTGCTCCCCCAGAGGAGTGAAGTCTTGCTTGGAGATGCAGCCTCAGTGCTCTGCTTGCCTGTTATCTTCCTCTGCTGCATCCCATGCTGTATTAATGTGTGAAAATGTGAACTTTTCTTGAGGCAGAGCTTTACCCTGAAATTCGGAGTGCTGCTGGTTCTGGAGTGCTGCCTGCCCTCTTGGTTACGAGCGTGAAGGGTTGATGCAGAAGGAAGGCTGGCATCTGGAAGGTGCTAAACCTTGTGAGCCAGTTGATGGTGATTTGCAGCAAATGCTTTCTGCAGCTTGAGAAGTGAACGCAGAACCTTTCTGATTAAGAATCTGTAGCTTTTTAGGACTTTAAGTACTGGAAAGATCTGACTCTTTTTTATTTTTTTTTTTTCCTCCCCCTCTCCTCCGCTCTCCCAGATCCAAGAGTGGAAGGCTGGCTGCTCATGTCTTCACCTTTTCCAACAACCATTATCATTGGAGCATATGTTTATTTTGCCACTTCTTTGGGACCCAAACTCATGGAAAATAAAAAGTCTTTTGAACTCAGGCAGATAATGGTATTTTACAATTTTAGTATAGTAGCCCTCTCCTTATATATGACTTATGAGGTAAGTACAACATTTATTTGTAATGCATTTATACATTTTGTGACTCTAACTACTGCATACCATGTTCTGAGGAATTTATTAATGAAATTCCTCCTCTACAATTCTCCAAAAAGCATTTAGGTTGTTGTAATTACTTTCCTCCAAGGAGTATGCTAAACTAATTGAGCTAATACTTGGAAAAAGTAAGTCAGTCATACCTAGAAAGGAAGATTGTAAAATATTTTATGTGCCATTACATGTCTCTTTAAAAATTACAAATCCTCATAACTTATTTAATTTCCCTGGGCTGGGGCAGGCAAAGTAGATTACATGTTTTTCTTAGCCTGCTGTAATTGTTTCTGTCCTGCTACATGATAGCTGACAGTTTCAACTGATGCTTCATGGACTGATTCAACTTTATAGACTATGCTTAACTGCAGAATAAACTTCAGTTAAATCTGAATTTTCAACTCTAGAGGTTTACAATATCTAATTTTGAGATCTTCATCCTTAAATCTTTAGCACTGACTTTTTAGAAGTAGTAAATACTCTTTCTCTGAGAAGGAATCTTGAGATTTTGCTGTAGTGGGTAGTTCAAACAAATGTTAAGACTTCAAAGTTGGATGAGTTAAATATGGTTATGCAGTGAATGACCTAAAATCCTTAAGCATGAGTGGTACATACCATATAAAAGCTATCATTTAGAACAAGCTTTTAAAACTTAAAGACAGCTAATGGCTGCTTCAATTAAAAAAAAAAATGTAGCTATTTAACAATAGTATTGTGTGAACGATAGTCTTGTGCGTTTGCCTGGTAAAACACCACTGACTGTCTTTGTGTTAAATGTGGTTATATGGCTGTAGCTATTTCGGGTTTGGCAAATTGGTAATGAAAAGTTCCCAGATGATCCCGCCAAATCGACAACCTTTCTGTTAACTCAGTTTGCATAACTTCCATCATGAGTTACAGTGAACTGCTGACTGTTTTTTTTTTTCTAAACAATACTTTAAAGTCCATGCAGCAGCGGCTATTTTGTGTAGTGACTGTTGTGTCAAATGCCATAAATGTTGTGCGAAATGCATGCGTGTTTGTTTTTTTTTTTTTTTAATTCTTTGTTTTGAAAAATCTCCAAGCTGTCTTCTTTTTGTGATTCGGTGATGAGTTTGCTTTTGATTTTAAACCCTTGGAAACTAAACCAAAAATTAAACTTAAATTTAATACTAATACAGTCTTTGATTAATCTGCTGTGAAGGCGCCTATTTTAAAATTTCATGAAAGAATACATAGAGACAGTATAACAGATTGAATCTCAGCCATTGTCTGGCTCTCAGCAAAAAGCTAATTCTTTCCCTCTTTGGATCCAAGCCATTTTGTGGGTGCTTTAGTACTGTGCTGTCTTGATGATATTTCAAATCTTGTTTTATTTAAGCAACTAGTTCTTTAAAAATAAAACAGCTAATGCAGTTATGGACTAAAACCTTCATCTGTCAAGAAAACTGAACTTCCTATCATCCATGAGTGGTGGATTATGATGATTAATCCATGACAGGTATTTTTTAAACACACGTAACATCTAGTAGACCTAGTGGCTGGCGGGAGTGTGAACCAAGAGCAATTTTAACAATGTTGCTCTTGTCCAAGTTTTAATATATTCCAAGAGAAAAGATTATGTGTGATACTTGTTACATAGAGTCCACTGGTCCTGTACCTCTACTTTTGATTGTAAAGCCTTAGCTTCTCGTGCATCTTGTCAGTGAAAGACTAATTGCATTAATTAAGCAAAATTTTAGAAACTGTGAGGCCAAAAATATAGTGCATATTGGTTCTTTCCTTGTCTTAATGACTTTAAACTATGCTTTTCTGTTTTACTGTTTTCTTAAGTATTGAGATGTTTGGCTCTAATAACCATTTTCAAAAATTTAAAAATGGTTGATTTTCTTTTGTGACCTGATTTACACAATAAGATGGTTATTCAGCATTTGTTTTGAGTTGTAGCTGTTTATCCTCTTCAGTTATTAAAACTGAGATAAAAGGAGGGACAGAGAAGATTCTCATCCATAGGTGTGGTCTTGGAATTAGAAATGTATTAAACTGTAACAGCAAAGGGTTTTATGATAGCTAGCCCACATAGAGGTAGATGACTGACAAGGTTGCTGATTCAACAAGTTTTTAATGTTGTTTCTTTCTCATGCTTAGTGATTGTGAAAGTCAACTGAAATGAATGAATCTTTCGTAAGTCATACAGTAAACTTTTTTCCTTTTTTTTTTTTTTTTTTTTGCGCCACAGTTTCTTATGTCAGGCTGGGCCACAGGGTATTCATTCCGGTGTGATATTGTTGACTACTCAAGGTCACCTACAGCTCTCAGAGTAAGTTGCCAAATGTAAGGCCAAATTGTTATGCTACGCTAACTTTGTTTTTGGAACTCCTTTTTGAGCAACGAAGTGCATTGCTGTAGAGTGGAATGCACTAAACAAAAATGCCCTTTGCATAATGGAGAGCATGTGAGTTAACTGAAGGGTTAGGTTGTTTAGGAAAAAAGGAATAAACAATGTATTTTTTGGCTTGTTCATCATGGTTTTACAATTCCATAAGGATTAAGGAATGTTTTATGTTTTTAAAAAAAAAAAAAAAGCAGACAAAACACTATATAATTAAATAGCTTTCTGTCAACTTTGAGACACCATATACTTGTCCATATACTTTCATGTTATATAGTTACTTATTATTCCTGCAGCTTGCATGTTGGGATTTGTGATTGTTGGGATTTGTGATTGTTGGGATTTGTGATTGTTGGGATTTGTGATTGTTGGGATTTGTGATTGTTGGGATTTGTGATTGTTGGGATTTGTGATTGTTGGGATTTGTGATTGTTGGGATTTGTGATTGTTGGGATTTGTGATTGTTGGGATTTGTGATTGTTGGGATTTGTGATTGTTGGGATTTGTGATTGTTGGGATTTGTGATTGTTGGGATTTGTGATTGTTGGGATTTGTGATTGTTGGGATTTGTGATTGTTGGGATTTGTGATTGTTGGGATTTGTGATTGTTGGGATTTGTGATTGTTGGGATTTGTGATTGTTGGGATTTGTGATTGTTGGGATTTGTGATTGTTGGGATTTGTGATTGTTGGGATTTGTGATTGTTGGGATTTGTGATTGTTGGGATTTGTGATTGTTGGGATTTGTGATTGTTGGGATTTGTGATTGTTGGGATTTGTGATTGTTGGGATTTGTGATTGTTGGGATTTGACTATATTTGGTTTTTATTCTTGCAGATGGTACGAGTTTGTTGGCTTTACTATTTTTCCAAGTTTATTGAATTATTAGACACTGTAAGTACTCATAAACTAATAAATTAAGTAGTGATGTTTCCTCTTCACAATTAAAGCACCAGTGCTGCTGCAGAGGCAGAGGGCATGAATTGCTCATTTATGAGCCCTCAGACCTTCAGTTATTGGAATACCATCAAAGTGTTTACTCTTGTTACCTCTTCTCATCTCCTTGTCCCATTACACTGTTGTTCCTTGATTATCAGGGAAAAAGTTAATTTGTGAAAGATAGCTTTAAGAAAGAGGAAGCCCTCAAAAATTGTCTGCTTAACAGCTGAATACACCAAGCTGTTGCATTACAGAGATACTTGTCTCAACACTGACTACTGCAGATTAAAATTGGCATTGGCTATGTTGAATTTTGCTCCATAATATCTTCAGATTTTAGCTTCCACCTTCTGAATGTTTGCATCGACAACTCTGAGTACACCATGAATTGCCATACCCACCTGCTTCAAATTCACATGTATACCTTGGTTGATGGGCCAATGTTAGTCCTATACTCTAAGCTGTTTCAAAGAAAGTCTGGGCAGCAATACATTAAAGCAGAGTGCGGGCCTTACTTGCCCCCTCCAGCTGTCTGCCTTCTCCTCTCTGAGCCTGACACCTTCTAGTAGGGCTGGTTTAGCGTTTCTCACACCAGCTTCTGAATGTTGGAGCTGGCTGTGATTTCAGATTGCCTTATTGTGTCAGGCACAATAATGGTGATTCAGGAGCTGACTAATGAGCAGTTAGGATGCCCTACACTCAACAAGAAGAGTTACCCATTAACTTTCATCTGCAAAAACTCATGATTGAACACCTGAAGATCATACTGACAGGGCCAAATGGAAGGACCGGGAATGCTGAAACTGGAAAAGCCTGACCAATTTAGTGCTCTCTGTACCTTTACTACCCAGTGGTTAGGTTTTCCCTTTGTAATTAGCCCTGGGCCTGAAAAAAAAATCTTTTAAATTTTATTCTGAATTTTCCCAGTCGGGTACCTGTTTCTCAGTAGCTTTTTTGGTGTTATAGTTAAGGTAATTTCTTGGCTGTATTTAACAGGCAGTTGTTTCCAAATGTTTTCCCTGGCACACCAGACTCTTCTTTTCCACTGTGTTCATTTTCTTGTCCCCTGACTCTACACTTCTCATGACCTGATTTCTCCTGATACAGTTTTCTTGATGAATCTTCCCTTAACACTTCTCTCTGTGTCTGTCCTTTTAAATGTGGCTGGTCAATATCCATTAAGAAATACTTACATTTCTTCTTCCTAATGCTATCTTTTTCTAAGGGTAGCTAAGTCAGGGTTCATAGCAAAGTACTATTTCCCTAACTTAATATTTTTTCCTGTTCGTATCTGTAGCTACTCCTTCAGTTACTCTTTCTAAATGGTTTTTTATTAGTAGCTCAAGGAACTTAAAATCTGATGTTTTCAGCTACTTTTCAGTCCAAACAAGTCCATCTTACACTCTCCATTGTAGTCATTGATGATGACTCAACCTTGGACATTTGCTCTCAAAAGCCAGAGAAAACTTTGATAAATTTTGGTGGATTTTACTTACTGGTTTGATTTTATGGAAAATTTGCTACTCAAGTCCAGTGCCTCAGTTTCTCTTCTCATGAGACAGCAACTGTGAAGAATTGTTAATTGTATAGTAGTGAGCATACAGTTTTTGATAAGTCTGGGCTTGTATATCTTCTGTAACGGTCTGTTTATTAAAATATGTTTCAGATATTTTTTGTTCTGCGTAAGAAAAACAGCCAAGTTACATTCCTGCATGTCTTTCATCATTCCATCATGCCATGGACCTGGTGGTTTGGAGTCAAATTTGCTGCAGGTAGTGGAGTGACAGTTTAAGTTGTACATATCTTCTGGTAGCAAAAGTTTAAAAAAAAAAAAAAAAAAGACAAATGTATTTAAAGAACAGCATTAAAAAGCTTGCAAACATCAATGTTAAGTATATAGTCTATAGTTTTCATGTAACAGTGGAGATCACCATACATTACAATTTTTTGAATGGATGAGAAGTACTCATTTTTATTTGACAGCATTTTGTGCACATATGCTTTCTGCTAGGGGACGAAGGTGCAAAGGAGAGAGGCATGTATAAACCAAGAGCATTTTCACATGAAAATAAAAAATCTGATTGCAAAATCAGACGTCCTGGAGGAGAAGTGTGGGTAGATGTTCTGCCAAAACTTAGACATCTGTCCCTTGAAGTGTAAGAATTGAACTGGAGGGGAGAAGTGTGCACTCATTGTTCTTAGCATCCTTTGTTTTGCCTGCTTTAGAAGTTATTCAGGCTTTGTTGCAGTTATTTTTACTGGCCTTGGATCACATAATTGGGAGCTTATTTATAATACTCTGGCTCTCACAGACCTACTAAGATATTTTCTGGGCCTTATTTATTATATAAGCTTAGGCTGTATCCACATTTGAATTGTGTTGAACTGAAATTCTTTGTCCAGTTCTTCCTCTAGCTTGCTTTCACTTTCTCCTTCGCCCCTCTGAGTCCTTTTTTTTTTTTTTTCCCTGCTTAAACCTTTCTAATCCCCTTCCCTCTACTCTACTGGTCTCTCTGAAGATGAAAAAAGAGGCATCCTTGCATTTCATTTACTGGAAATGCATCTTTCTATGCTATCGTGTTAGTGTGTAACACTAATAAATATAGCATGCCATGAGAATATCCTGGTGACCATAGAGTGGAGAAATGTACAGTCTAGTAATATATCTGTAGGAATTTTTTTTTGTAGCATTCAGCATGAGCAGAAGGAGTGTTCACCAGAGGGTAGGATTTTTGTACATATTTTTTCATTCATGTTCATATTATTTTTCACCCCAGAAAACAGGTGACAAATTGGTGAAAAGGACTATTGCTTATTAAATCAGATCTGTTAATGCTTGTTTTATGAATTTAAAAAAAAAGGCCCTGAAAGCAGTCAAGAAGGTTGGTAGGTAGGATCTTTTGAAGGTGTCCAGTGTGCAGATTTTCCTAGTGTGTAAAGGGATATACTTTTGCTGTAGCTGTCTAGCTTCTATTACTGAGAAGTTGATGTCTTGAGCATGTCTGTCTTAAATGTTCCTGAGTAACTGATATTTTAATTTAATGATGAAATGGTAAGGTTTTCTCAATGTGGAGTTCAGTATGTTTTTAGATTTGCTAAGAATTCCCAGCAACTAATAGTCCCTCCTTGTCCACCTTGAAAAGTTTCCATTTTAGGTGATTAACTTTCTGACTTTTATCTGAACATCAGATCAGTATACCAGATACAGGCTTAGCATCAGATTAAAATTTCCCATGTGAAAATTTGACAAATACTTTCTGCAAAGTGTGCAAGATCTGTTTTGTCCTCTGATAGTGATATTCCCTCATATTCATGAAGAGCTGTGGGTTTTTTTCCTAACACTCTATTGTTTATCTTTATACTAATCTTCCCAAATATTGTTCTGATAACTGAAAATTGTTTCCAGGAATTTCAGTCCTGTTGATGCTGCTCTTGTATTCAGTTTCATCACTGTTCGTCCTCCTTTCTAAACAGGGGTATTATGGTCTCTACTGATGAAGCTTTGGAACCTGTTTTTAAAAAACAATGGGTTTGGGAAAAGAGAGGAGGATTTCTCTCTGACATAAGCACCATTGTACAATTCCCTATTTATGTGTGGTGTTGCTTTTTGGAGCACACTTTTGTACGGTTGCTTAGGTTTTTTTTCCTTTTTTTCTCTACTTTAACTATTTTGTTTTTCACTTTGGAATATCCACTGCACAGGCCAGAAAGTATGTATGTTTGGACTGTAGAAACACTTCAAATTATTTTCAGAAATGTAAGTAGCTAAATAGCAAAGAGAGTTTACAGTCACAGCTGAAGCTGTGTGATCTACGAAGCTGAAAGGCTAGTGTGAGCTACTAAAATCACAAAATAAATTTTATTTTAAACTTGAATGATTGTTAATGGAAAATTGGCTTTTGGTTACAAAAATTTCTCATTGTGTTTGGCTTTCATGACTCTTTTTTTTCCTTGGTACTCAATATTTTCATGTTTATATTTCAGAAATACTTTCCTGTCTGTATATACCACTTCTTGGATCATTTTTACCTATAATTTTTTGTGTTCATTAAAATAGAATTACTCTTGGCAGGATCATCTAATTCCATGTTTGATCCACAGGAGAAGGAAACATTTCCTTGCTCACTTTTTGAAATGTTTCTATCTCACCAGTTTGTTTGCCCCAAAGCAGGGGGTTACTTGGCCTTAAATTTTATTTCCCCTGTCAGTGTGGTTTTGAGATGGAGCATGGATTTGTGGGACTTTCACTTGCATCATGACTCCCAAAACTTACTATCTAAACTGTGATTCCTTCTCTGGAAATCTCTGTTGGGTGGAGAACTTATCTTCTAGATCTGTGCTAAGTTCATCATAATGCCTAGAAAAGAAGCATAAAGCAGGAGGAACATTGTTACCACTAAATTCTCTGACCCTCCTTCATGTATATATTTTAATGAAAAAAACAAAGGAACAAAAAAAAGGCACTAACACTTCTTGCATGTACTTAGGTCATTTAGGCTTTATCTCTGTTTTGGAAATGATTAGATAGGCCTTTACTGAGAAAGGAAACTGCTGAGACCCTTCAGAATTGGCATCAACACAATTCAGGTTAAACACTTATAAGGGCTAATCAAAGTCTGTAGGTTTTGGAATACATTTTTTTTTTCCTCCCTCACTCAAAACAAAGTGCCAGGACTCCTGAGATGGCTTTTTAAATACCTGATGCAATAATGCTACCATATTTTGTTCTTCCGCAGGTGGTTTAGGAACGTTTCATGCTTTGTTGAACTGTATTGTACATGCCATCATGTACACTTACTATGGACTCTGCTCTTTGGGACCAGCCTATCATAAATATTTGTGGTGGAAAAAATACATGACAACTATACAGCTTGTGAGTAATTTTCTGTTTGGCCTGAACATCTCTCAGAAGGCTGGCTAACTAATGCAGACTTTATGCAGTAAAATTTCTACTTTGTTTTAGTTAAGTTCATACATTATATATAGCTTACAGTTGGTACAAGAGTTTTACTCATGCTTTAACTGAGTAAAGGAAAAAGTGTGAGTGCCACTCAAATCTGCTGACTTCAGCATTTGCAGTAATCACTGAGATTTACACACAAGAGGTTTTCAGTTATGCAGTACTTGGTGATAAATTTACAAAACTCACTGCCTGTGTAAAAATGATTAGAATGTAAGTTTTCACCAAGAAAACATATGAATAACTTATTAATATACAGAATACACATGTAAATAGTAATGAGTAAAGAAAAAAGTGTCACCTTAGGTATTTATTAAGAATTTCTTGTCCAGTCTTTCACATAAATTGTTTGATTTTTAAATAAGTTACTTCTCTTTAATTCAGAACCTTAAAAAATGTTCTTGCGGTAATTGCATTAACTGTTCTGTCAGCATTAGATCACTTTGAAATGGTTACTGCTCTGGTTGCTTTTTCACACCCTGCTTTTTTATAGTTGAATTCTCAAAACTCTGATTCTGATTAAACTATTTGTTTGGCCTGACCAAAGAGACTTCTGCTGGTGGAGGAGGGAAAGGAGCAGGGAGAAGTAACCATGGCTGGTAACTGCTTATACCAGGTCTGGTGTCAGTGGAAGAGTTCCTGTTAACTAAGGATGATTTAGCTTGAACAATTATAACCTGTTTAAAGTCTTTTTGTCCTGGTGCTACTACCTGTGGATTATTAACTTTCCTTTTATGTGGAACTCTTTTCTTTAAAATTCTTCATTAAATTGTTTCTTGGGACCTGCAGACCTTTGTGTAACAAGACATTCTGTAAGGTAGAGAGGGAGGAAATGTATGTTCACCAGTCCTGCTGGGCTGTTTTTTCAAAAGGAGCTTCACGTTTGTCACTAGTCAGACACGTCTGTTTTTTGTTTCTTCTCTGATCTGGGAAGTGCAGACTTCCTTTCCCCTAGTAAGGGTTTCCCCATGCTGCTTGCAATTCGCTTTCAGTTTATCCCAGGACTTTCCCTTCTTTATTCTGTGAAAAGGTTTTCCAGTGGAGTAAAATTGGGGGGGGAACTCTAAAGGTTCATCTCTATAGTGGACAAAGACTCCTCAACTCTGTGTTCTTTCTGTATGCGAGGTACGATGAATCTTTTTAAATGTGTATAGTAAGTTTGTCTTTTATTTTAAAAATACTTATTTTTCCTAATATATCTCTTCCAGGTCCAGTTTATTATGGTTACAGGCCATATAGGACAAATCTACATTATGGATGACTGTCAGTACCAGTATCCAATTTTCATGTTTATTATTTGGCTGTATGGCTCTATGTTTTTGGTTTTGTTTCTCCACTTCTGGTACCATGCTTACACAAAGGGGCAAAGACTACCAAAGATGACAAGAAATGGGATCAGCAAAGATCAGTGAAACAAAGTCTTGTCTATAAAAATGTGTATATCTCACAGTGGAAACTTGTACTACTTGACAATCAAGATACTTAGGTGCACACTACACTGTGTATATTTTGTATGTTTTTTTTTCCAAAACAGAGCTTGTATTTTTACCATAAGTTATTTGGGTTTCAGAATTTGGGGGAATTGGGGGAACAATGTGGATCTCTAATTAAAAAAATATTTTTTAAAAGTTGCATTTTTTTTAACAACTTGCTCATCTCTATCCTGTTAGAAATGACTGGAGAGATGATTTCTATTTAGAAGATGCATGCAAATACAAATATTCATTGGGAAAACTAAAATGTGTATGACAAGTACATAGCACTTTGAACGCTGAGAAAAAAATTATTTCACTTTGTTATAAGTTATTGAAAACGTCAGCTGCATTTGATTAAAAGAATTAAATTTCAGTCAGTACAGTTTATAGAGCTTATAATTAATAAAGCTTATAATTAATATAGTTAATACATTTAAACATTGTTATATGTGTTTACCAACTATATCACATTAAAGAATGGGCTATATATATGTGTCAAAGTATGGTGTCTAATTTGAAGATTTTTTTTTTGGACATATCCTCTCTTACTAAAATATCTCAAGTCACTTCATGCAGGAAACTTATACTCATTTAAGCATTATCCCAAGTGAAGGAAACATCTACTAATTTAAACATTATCTGAATTATCTTGTTGTATAATGATCAAAAAAAACTACTGATGTGTTCAACAAAGAATAAAAATATTGTTATATTATTCAACATGTCTACAGAGATATTTTGATTTTGGTAGGCTAGCCTGTTTAGGGGGAAAAAAATCTTGTAATTCAGTAGCCAGAATCTTAGTCTTCCATTAACTTTTTTTTCTTTAATGGAGTTTGAAGCCAAAATATCAGCTAGTATAGATTGTACTGTGCCCTATTGTTCTCCCATTTCCCTTACCTATTGAAATATATGCCTAGAAATTTTTATTTTATTGTTTGTTTGTTTTAACAACTTGAGGTTAAGGTTCCTCTATTGATAGCACTTTGCCTCTGCTGTCTGGTACTAGGTAAAAACATGCATGCCGTTCCTTGAACTATTGAGAGGAACGGTGCAGCAGGCCGTGGTCATAGGACATGACTGCAGTCCGTATAGAATCAACCAACATGTTATTTTTCCATGGCTAGGCAGATTGTTGTGGTCACACCTGTACAGAAATTAAAGGACCTAGCTATCTGTATGCAAGTTGAATTTATACTGTACGAGTTTATTAAGGAATTACTGTACACAATAGACCTGTAAACGAGATGTTTAAGAAGTTTTAAATGAACATGTTGTATACTGTTTTCTATTATGATCACTGCTAATAGAAGAGAAGCCTGTAATTTTTGCTTTGTACTTGATTCAGTCTGTGGGATTTTCAAATACCTTAAACTTTTGGGGATTCTTGAGTTGCCTCCCTGTTGTACAATTCCAAAAAAGTAAGTTTTGTTACCTGGTTACTTTTATGGGAATAATGACATTTATTGTGTTTGGTTAGTGCTAAAAGTATTTGAACTTTATCTTGGACATGAGTTGCAAATGATTTCTTACAAAATTACATGAGCCTCCTTTATAAAACAAGGTAACTTATATTTTATCTTTCATCTTTCTATTATTTAATCCCTGCAGCCGTCAACAGTCATGGCAGATTGAAAGTTAGATCCCAGAAAGCACTGCACTTGAGATGTATCTTGCAATCCCCTAATTTTTAGCTGCTTGATCATAGAATCCTCTGTGCTGATTTTTTAGGCTCCCTGGCAGCGCACAGAATCCAAAACAACCAGGATGCTGAATAGGGGCCACACAGGCTTGCTGTGAAAATTATCATCACTGACCATAAGTCTTGAATCCAGTCAGCCTCCAGCTCATGTTTGTGTTCCCTTGGGTTCCAGGGTGCCTAAGGATAGGCACCTATCACTTTTTATTCAAACAGCTGGACAGAACTTGCCTCTCTCTTATTTTTAAAGCTTGAATGTGCCCCATTTTTTTTAATATAAGAGCTTATCAAATAAGCACTGATGGAGAAAGAAAATGGGACAATTTGGTTCATAGCCTTGAGCCTGAGGGTCCAAACATGTATGGGAACAATAGGCCTCCCAGGAAAGGGCTGTAATTGTTAATCTACAGTGTGAGCTGGGTGATGCTATTCCCCACCTCTTCTGGAGGGTGTGCATTTCTCTGTACTCTTGCAGATAATTACTAAGATGGTGGGGGAAGTCCTAGTTCTGGTCTCTGATTTCACAGTACTCCCCCCTCTTTCCCCTGCAAATAATACAAAATGCATAAATATGCAGGGATCAGGACCAGCTGGAGAGACCACATCTCCATCTACATTTGAAAGGAAAGCATCCAGCAGCTGACTCTGAGGGGCCAGACACACTGTTGGTTTGGGGCCTAGATCAGCACCTGATCCTTCAAACATAGCTGGGCCTAAGTGGGAGCTGGGAGTGTATTTGCTCAAAACTGAGCATGTGCAAGTGCTGGCCTGCAGTAAGCCAGGAAAAACTTCCAAATCTAGCAGAGGCACAATAACCAAGTACTTTGAGAGCCAGTTGCTTGAGATTAACAAGTAAGAAGCGGTAGTAGAAAGTGGAGATGCTGATCGTTCAGCAGATTGTCAGCAAGGGCCACTCCAGCTTCCTGTTACATAATTTCTTTCTTGCACACTGGTTTAGTTTTCTGTATGTTATAAAGCCAACTGTCAGTCATTTTTGTTCTCTGAAATTTTACTTGACCAAGAAATAGGAATACAAATAAAGGCAACATAGATTTATAAGCATTCTCTGCAAGATAAATAGTTAATATACAACAAGTGTTTTATATTAAAAACAGTTCATGCTGTGTCATGTTCCTTTGGCTGTAAAACAGAAACCATGGTGTAATTAATGATTTTCTCAAAATGTTTGGCTTTATTCCTGTAACATCTATTATAATATAGCTTGCTTTTCTGTTTTGATATCCTGACAAGTGCAAACATTTAGAGGAAAAAAAAAAAAGCATTATTTCAGGGTGCTGTAATGGATATATCTTGAGAGGTTGCATATAGTATAATTATCCTTGTGACATCAATACAAAACGTTATTAAATGCATCATGGTACACACAGTGTTGCAGCCTGTGAGAATCATAGTCTTGATCTGGACAGTCACATATTTTCCTGCTTAAAAATTGTGCATCTTACTTGCCTAAACGTTATCATAAATTTCAGTTATTTTAGTACATAAATTTTAGTACTCCCGAGGAAAGGGGAGTGTGATATTAAACAAGATTATAGTGAACGTTTTCTGATAATGAGAGGAAGTGGGTTGAAATGTTGCATTTCAACATGGATGTGGCTAATGAGAAATGCTAGTATTGCCGCAGGTACTGGGCTAAAGTGCTAATAAGCGTCACTTCCCACTCTGTCCGGCATTTTGCTAAGATAGAGAGTATCCCAGGAGCCTATCAGTGCTTTTCGGCGTTGCGCAAGGTCTGCTCACTGGTTTCCCCT